AGGAGGGACATAGTCAACAGACTCCAAGAAAACAGATGCCAACCAAGAAATACTCTATCCCGCAAAGCTTCTCGCCTCATGAAAGAGAAAGGAATATGGACCTTCCAAGACAAAGAGAAACTCGGAATTTCATTACGAATAAAACCCCCACTCGCAAAAAATACTACAAGGAATCCTAAAGCAAACCTCAGAGGGACGAATAACAAACGAAAAAAGACCCACAAAAAAAAGTTATTAAAAGAATAAATAAAATCAAAGGAAAGACAAACATAATGGCAAATACAGATGCATAACTATCAATATTAACTATAAATGTAAATGGACTAAACTCCTTCAATAAAAAGACACAGAGTTGCAGCCGGATTAAGAAACAAAACCCTCCCTACCTTTTGCTGTCTCCAGGAAACACATTTAGCTACAAAAGATAAAAATAGGCTCAAAGTCAAAAGTTGGAAAACAATCTACAAGCAAATGGCAAAAAAGAAAGCAGGAACAGCTATACTTATATCAGATAAAACAGACTTCAAAACTCAAAAAAATAAAAAGACCCCAATGGTCACTACATTATGATTAAGGGGGACAATACTTCAAGAAGAAATAACACTCATTAACATATACTCACCAAACGAAGGAGCACCAAAATATATCAGACAACTGTTGTCCTCTCTGAAAACAGACATCAGAGAAAACACATACGTAGTGGAGAGACTTCAACACAACACTATCAACAATGGATAGATCAACAAGACAAAAAATAAGTAAAGAAACTAAAGCTCTAAATAAGGACCTAGAGCATTTGGCTTAACAGACATCTATAGAACACTAAACCCAAAAAAAACGGAGTACACATTTTTCTCAAGCGCACACGGATCATTCTCCAGGATCGATCAATACTGGGGCACAAGACAAACATCAACAGATACACCAAGATTGAAATCATACCAACCATCTTTTTGACCCGAAGGCATCAAACTAGAAATAAATCATAAAAAGAAGGCAAAGGATATCCTACCTCATGGAGATTAAAAGCCACACTACTGGAAGACCACTGGACTAATGAGGAGATCAAGAAGAAATTAAAAATTCTTTGAATTGAATGACAAGGAGGACACCAATATCCTAAATGTATGGGATGCAGCAAAGCAGTAATAAGAGGAAAATATATAGCAATAGAAGCTCACATCAAAAAACAAGAAAGAACTCAAAGAACAACCTAATCTCGAAGCTCAAAGATCTAGAAAAAACAACAAAAAAAACCCAGAACCAGTAGAAGAAAAGAAAATAATAAAAACCAAAGCAGAAATAAATGAAATTGAAACTAAAAAAACAATCCAAAAGATCAATGAAACCAAGAGCTGGTTCTTTGAAAAAATAAATAAAATAGACAAACCCTAGCCAGGCTCACAAAGGAAAAAAGGGAGAAAGCACAAATACACAGGATCATAAATGAAAGAGGAGAAATCACAACGGACACAGCAGAAATCAAAAGAATAATCAGTAACTACTATGAAACAGTTATATGGAAACAGTCAACCATCTAGAGGAGATGGACAAATTCCTACAACTCTACAATCACCCAAAGCTAGATAAAGAAGAAATAGAACACCTAAACAGACCAATTACAAGCAGCGAAATTGAAATGGTAATCAAAAACCTCCCCAAAAACAAAAGCCCAGGACCTGATGGATTTACAAATGAATTCTACCAAACATTCAGAGACGAATTGGTGCCTATCCTTCACAAACTCTTCCAAAAAATTGAGAAGGAAGGGACAATACCAAACACGTTCTATGAAGCCAATATTACACTAATACCAAAACCGAATAAGGACAACACAAAAAAGGAAAACTATAGGCCAATCTCCCTAATGAACACTGATGCAAAAATCCTCAATAAAATTTTAGCTATCAGAATCCAACAATGTATCCATAAGATAATTCACCACGACCAAGTTGGATTCATTCCAGGGGCACAAGGATGGTTTAACATCCGAAAATCAATCAACGTTATCCAACACATCAACAAAAAGAAATATAAAAACCATATGATAATATCAATAGATGCTGAGAAAGCTTTCGACAAAGTGCAACACCCATTCATGATAAAAGCCCTTGAAATTCTTGGATACAAGGAACATACCTCAACATCATAAAGGCCATCTATGACAAGCCAACAGCCAGTATCATTCTCAATGGTGAAAAAGCTGAAAGCAATTCCATTAAGATCTGGAACAAGACAAGGATGTCCACTCTCACCACTGCTTTTCAATATAATACTGGAAGTCCTAGCCAGAGCAATAAGACAAGAGAAAGACATCCAAGGAATCCAAATAGGAAAAGAAGAAGTCAAACTATCACTATTTGCAGATGATATGATAATATACATAGAGAACCCCAAAATCTCCACAGAAAAAACTAATTCAACTCATCAGTCAGTTCAGTAAAGTGGCAGGATACAAAATCAACACGCAAAAGTCAGTAGCCTTCCTATACACAAACAATAAATCTGAAGAAGAAGAAATCAAAAAAAACCACCCCTTTTATTATTGAAACAAAAAAAATCAAATATTTGGGAATAAATCTAACAAAAGAGGTAAAGGACCTATACAAAGATAACTATAAAACACTGTTAAAAGAAATAGAAGAAGACACAAAGAAATGGAAAGACATCCCCTGCTCATGGATTGGAAGAATAAACATTATTAAAATGGCCATCCTACCAAAAGCAATATACAGATTCAATGCTATTCCAATCAAAATCTCAATGGCATTCTTCAAAGAAATAGAACAATTATTGATGAAATTCATATGGAATCACCAAAAACCCCGAATAGCCAAAGCTCTACTGAAAAAAAAAGAAGGAAATGGAGGCATCAAACTCCCAGACTTCAAACTATACTACAAAGCCATAATCATCAAAACTGCATGGTATTGGAACAAGAACAGACACACAGACCAATGGAATCGAATAGAAAATCCAGAAATAAACCCACAGATTTATGGTCAACTAATCTTTGACAAAGGAGCAAAGACTATGCATTGGAGCAAAGAAAGTTTGTTCAATAAATGGTGCTGGGAAAAACTGGGTCGCTACATGCAAAAGAATGAAGCTTGACCACTACCTCACACCATACACAAAAATCAACTCAAAATGGATTAAAGAACTAGACATAAGACCTGAAACTATAAAATACATAGAAGGAAATATAGGCGAAACACTACGGGATTTGCACATCAAAGACATCTTTACAGACACATCACCCAAAGCAGTGATAGTGAAGACAAAGATAAACAGCTGGGACTACATCAAATTAAAGAGCTTCTGCACAGCAAAAGAGACAATAACAAAAACAAAGAGAAACCCACCAACTGGGAGAACATTTTTGCACCCAACACTAATGATAAAGGGCTGATCACAAAAATCTACAAAGAGCTGATGAGACTCAGCAACAACAAAGAAAATAATCCAGTCAAAAAATGGGCAGAAGAGCTAAAAAGAAACTTCTCTGAAGAGGAAATGCAAATGGCCAACAGACATATGAAAAAATGTTCAACATCACTTGTAATCAGGGAAATGCAAATCAAAACTACCATGAGATACCATCTCACACCAGTGAGAATGGCACATATTAAAAAAACTAGCAACAACAAATGTTGGCGAGGGTGTGGAGAAAAAGGAACTCTCCTGCACTGTTGGTGGGAGTGAAAACTGGTCCAACCACTATGGAGAGCTGTGTGGAGATTTCTGGACCTACTAAACATAGAGCTTCCGTATGATCCAGCAATTCCACTCCTAGGTATTTACCCAAAGGACACAGAAACATCAATTCCAAAGAGCACCTGCACCCCTATGTTTATAGCAGCACTGTTTACAATAGCTAAGCTTTGGAAACAACCCAAATGCCCAAAAGTAGATGACTGGATCAAGAAGATGTGGTACATATATACCATGGAATATTACTCAGCATTCAAAAAAGATAAACACATGCAATTTGCAGCAACATGGATGGCGCTGGAAGGGATCATGCTCAGCGAAATAAGCCAAAAAGAAAAAGAAAAATACTGGATGGTCTCACTCATAGCAGGAATCTAGAAAACTTAAATAAGGGACCAGGAAAATGAATATAAGAAAGTGAAAATCAAAATCAACAAAAAAACTATGAACCAGAGACACTTTTTGGGGTGTGGGGGGCGGGAGGGGAAGGATTGGGGTCAGAATGGGGCGTTTGCAATTGTATGGGGGAATATAAAAATAAAATTTAAGATTAAAAATAAATAAATAAAAGAAAAAAAAAAAAAAAAAAAAAAAAGAGGGGTGGGAATTGTTTGGGGAATATAACCAAGAAGAAAATGCATACATTGTGCAAAAGTGAAAAATGATGTAAAAATATATATATAATAAAAAAGAAAAACAAACAAACAAAAAAAAGAATTGTTACAGAGATAGCAGGGGAAGGGTTTTGAAGCCAGAATTAAAAGTCCTGGAGGGTAGCAATGCAGTTAATTCAATAACAAGGCTTCTATAATGTGGTAGAATATTTCCCAATACTTTGAAAAGAGTAGGGGATTGGGGCCTCCCTGGTGGTGCAGGCAGTTGAGCGAGCGCTGTGAAGCTGTCCACAGCCTTTGCAGTGCCGGTTCAATCCCCGCCGGCCTCGGAGCAACCCACATGGCTAGCAGAACTCTTCTGTCTTGCCCGCTGCTCCCCTCAGCAGTGTATTTCGTCAGTCTGCCTGTTCTGTTCCCCGTTCTATCTCTGGAGAACCCTCTCACCCTCCCATGCATCTGGACTATACCCCAGCTCTTGGATAAATAAAATAAATCTTAAAAAAAAAAGTAGAGGTAACTATGACATTTCTATCACACATTTTCCCCTGCTTAACTCATAGAACACACC